TTTCCCATGTGGGAGTCTGAGTCTTTGGATTGAGATGTACCCTCTGACATTAGTGAATTTAGACTTAGACAAGCTAGACATGGCTAGGGAAGCTGCTAGGAATGAGCAAAGATTTAGAGGAACGATTGACCACCATATCATAGTACGTTTCTAGTGCAGGGAGTGGCGGGTGCTAGGCCGACAGGGTGGACAGTTGCATAGAGAAACAGTGCGCCAAGAAGCGGTCCCCAGATAGATTTGCAACCCTGTCAAGAGCGAGGTGCAGACTGGTCTGCAATGCGGTTGAGGCATCCGTTAATGTGGCAGCTAGGGTTGCGCATCTGGGCAAAATGTGCTACTGAGAGCGACCATGGCTGTGTTGTGCACGTATGAGTCAACCGCACGACTGAGAGCAACCACGATTAGCCTGTGCACATCTAGGCAAATTGGATGGGGCAATGAATCTTGATCTTGGTGGAGATGGCTAGCTACGATGTCTATTTGTGGAGAGATGGCTGATCTATGGTGGACAACAACTAAGGTTGTGGTGGCCAATAATGAAGGCTAACTCTTTTCACAATTTTCTTATTTTGGTAATAAACACCGAACAAGGTTTGTAAAATAGTTTAAGATTTTTTAACCTAGAGCTCTGATATTATGTTAAAAATAGTTTGTATATTTTATTAAATATTACAATCCTATATATATAGATTTTCTAAAATGAAAAATAAATATGATCACAATTAATTACATAAAGTGTATTTTTACCCTTATACCCTCAAACGTAATTTAACCTTTCCTTAACAAAAAAATAGTTTAATTTTCTTATTTAAGTTACAACATTCTACAAGAATAGAAAAATAAATAAGGCATAAGAATGTTGAAAAGAAAATATCCCAGTCATAAAGGATAAAGAGACTGTTGTATCGAACAGAACTACTTCAAAGATGCAAAATTTTACAACAATGTCTTAAGATACCAACCAAGTGCGATAGCAATGTTGATCAGAGCCACCCTCCAGATGTCCAGGTACTGCTCAAAGAATATGTAAAAGACTGAATATGGAAAGACATCCATCTGCATCAGAGAAGTTGTCAGAATCATGTAAATCTGAAGTATTTCAGTATCAAACAGCACTATGCTCCAGGTCTTGGGACGGTAAGCATCTATTCCAATCTCTTCTGGCAATAGTTAATGTTCAGAGATTATTGATAAAATTGCTGAAGTCTAAGATAAAGGTACATCTACACAAGGCCTAATTCAAACCTTCAAAGACTCCGAAATTCTTGAGCTGAACTCCCGTGCAGCTCGCATTGAACCAACATAGTCACCCTGAGAAAGGACAGCCAGATCAAACAGACAGTCTAGAACTTCCATCACTCGGGCTAACAGATTTAAACAGAATCATTTCACCAATGATATTTCTATACTTGTTTGTTAAGTGGTGTATGATATGTACGAAACTCTGATGCTCGAATAACACCACTCTCATAACCTGAGAAATGATAAAAGTGAAAAATGCAATTGAATTACTTAGGATCAGCCATTATACAACTACTTATACATATTAACTATAAAGAAATGGTTTCTTTTAAAAAAGAAAAAACCTCAATCACACGAACCATTTAGATCGACACTGTTAGTATAAGCCCCATGACCACCCTTCGCACAATCAGCAGATGGCAGAGCGTTAAGAAACCACGGAAGCTTCTGCCTAAATTGAATGGTAGATGGACGATCATGAACCAAATCCGAATGACGGAAGCACTGAAACCCAATGCAGAAAATTAGTCTGAAAATTTCTCCCTGATATCACATCACAAAACACTAAAGAAGAGCTGTCTCAGTGTATGTTCTCATTCCCATAAAAAGGATGAAAGCCAAAGATGAAGGGATAGAAGAGAACAGATACATAGACAAAGAATAGGCTATTACTGTTGTACAGTCTTTGCAGACTCCACCGTAGCCACAAGGACCTTCATCAGATGAACAGCAGGGTGGCTGGAGAAAGAGAATACCAGTTCAGTGATCTAATGATATATTATTGCTTAATTGACAACTGAAAATAGAGTTTACATCTGTTGCACAGAATACAATGTTAAACCATAGAAAGGAACAAAACTCAGACCAAATTCAGGAAAAAAGCACACAACAGAAGCACCAACCTGATCATCAGTGGACAATAGCTACCATTTGTAAATTTCCGACAGCAACCAAATGCCTCCGGTGATATCCATACAAGAAATCGTCAAGCCATGAGGCGGCAGGTTTAGCAATGTAGCTGAGTCTGGAACTAGTGATGCCTTGATATCTGATTAGTTTGAACATGTACAAAGACGTAGCAAACCATTTTACAATATTTTTCTCAGTATGTAACCTTTTGATATCAAATTCCCAGGGAATTTCACAAAACTTAGCATCTCATAGGAGCTTCTTAGCATAAATATATGAGATCGTTTGTATAAACTAATGTAATTCACTTTCAATATAGCAGTAGATTATGAAATCAATTTATTACCTCATTCAAAAGGGAGTTAGAATCACACTGGCTGATGGAACATAACTGGTTTGTTTGTCTTGACTCCAAGCTGAGAAAGAAAGCAATTTTACCATCAGACTAAACAGACAGATGAAATTTAACATTGAAACTAAGAGTTCTTTTACCAGCACAAAAATTGACCATTTTTAAAGAAACATTAAAATCACCAGAGATACTTTTTCAACATTAAAATCACCAGAGATATTTTTTCTTTCCAATCATGTTCTTTTTCATTGCTTTATTACTGTTTCAGACTCTTGAAGGATTTATGTTTTCTACTTCAATCCTTTCGTCTTTTACCCCGCTTCTAAAATTATTATTACATTAGACTGGTTGCAAAAAATTGATCTTATTTCCTTCTAGCAAGTCCATTCTAAAAACCATGTTTGCATCTTCAAATGGCATGGGAAAAAAACAGAAAATAAGGGGTTAAGAAAGTTCAATTTCAAAAGAAAAACTTTACATTTTCTTCTTATGCTTGCTCCCTAAAATTTTGAACAATAGAATTATTCCCATTTATTTCCTCAAATCCACTCTCCATCTCTCTCAGCAAACATGAGTACATGCACTCTTTCAGAAAGAGAACCTAAATTTTGATCCAATAAAAGAAGTTAGCAAAGAGAGACTGAGAGAGTAGATACCTGTAATTATAATTCTTAACAACAAAATATAATGGCGGTCCAATTCTGAGATATTCTGAGACATTGTTGAAATACCCCTGATACAAACAAAAATTGGGTGCTAAGAAAAGAAAAAGAAAAATAAAAGCACTTGATATCGTATCTGAGGACTTAAACCTGAAGATAAGAGTCCCGAGGAAGAACAATCTTTTGCTCTAAACCAGATTCAATCCTCTTGCATAGGGCCTCCAAGCCATTTTAAAAATGCAGATAAATCATAAATCATATAGAAGAAAGTACAAGGTAAAATACACATAAATGATAAACACTACCAAAACATAATTGTAAAGGGAAAGATTAAGAACGAAAAAAATGCCAACTTACAATACTGGTCAAACCAAAGGCAAGAAAGACGGCAATTACAACTATTTTAACTCCCCAAAGTCCAAGAATGGGTGCATGAACTTCCTGAAGTAGATATGAAGTATATTTCAAAACAAAAGCGACAGAAAATATATGATTGCTAAGGCTGAACTCCAGAAGTAATTAGAGTCCTAGGAAGATAAATCCTATCACCAAATCAAAAGTACCCTAATGTTGAAAAAGGTTTGGTGTTTGTAAAGATTCTAAAGCATACCTTCATATATCTAGCCAGTAGTCCATCCCTTCTTTGCCTGATATCTACGATTCATTAAATCAATTTGTAGCCTTCCAATACGACAGAAACAGACAATAAGTAGAAATGCTTCAGCAAAAAATACCTTCTTCAGACACTCCAAAAGACGAAGGAATTTTTACACATGGAAAGCAATCAATCCTGTTATCCTCAGCTCTCAAACAGTCAAAAACTATCAAGGCAACAAAAGCAGTAACTTGCAGAAGGAAGTCCAACAGAACAGCCAAAGCTACAACAAAAAAGGGTTACAAAAAAAATTAAGGGAAAAATGAAATGGAAATGAGAATTCCAATTTCGTATAAATTAGGACTTTGGGATTCTGGGACCTGCAAACATGGAGAAGACACGACATGCTGGCATAGGAATGAAACTTCCGACAGCAAATGCCAGAACCTCCGATAAACTTGCTAATGTAATGGATGGACCAACTTCAACCAGTGCATTACTTACTCGATCCTCTAAAGGCAAATCTATTGATTGTCGTTTTACAGCATGAACCAATATGCACATATTATCCACTCCTACCTAGTTAAATCATAAAAGCACCAGTGAGAGAAACAACGTATGGTTTTATACTCGTCACCATATAGAAAAATAATTAAACTAGTATACATAAAACTATTACTAATAAATTAACAAGAGCAGAAAGAAAATTTTGATTCAAAGGAAATGGACCGAAAACTCAAAGATAGCACCCAAAAAAAAACAAGGGTGTTAAGATTACAATTTGGTGTGGCATAAACTACTGTATGTTCATTCTCTGGATTCAGCAGAGATAAATGAGGGGAAGCCATTGGCTGTACAAGTGTGTGAATCACTATCTAAAATATTTAAATAATTATTTTATTTCATTAGATTTTAAATATTTAAATAATTACTTACATTAATGATATCATTTCGCATTTCCTTAATAATATATCATTCTAGTATTTTTTTTCTATTTACCATATAAACTAATAAATCCACATTAAATGCATCTAAAAGTGACAGGTGAAAATTTTTAAAAACATAAATACAACAATAAGTGGCATCTTAAATAATATATAAGTAATATAAATATAACTGGATTTAATATTTTTCTTCACAAAAAGAGTTGCATCACTTGCCAATGAACATCATGCAAAAATATTCATATTTGTGTTTAATATAGAAAATTTTACAAAAACATAACTATATATCTAATTGTTTTATCTTTATTTCTGCAATTTTTGTATTAATAATATTGAACTCATAGTCAATAGCACCCTTCACTTAGTAAAACATTCTTATTAATTTCATGACCATTAATTTATTCTTCTATTACGGAGTTATTAATCTCTTCTATGATAAGAGATACTTATGTCTTTATATTTTTCTATAAAAGAAAAAGATTTATTAAGATAAGTAGAGAAAAATACAACGGAAGGAGGGTGAGACATCCTCTAGATGTTACAATTTATAGTGAACGAAAAAAATTATAGTACTTATAAGATGTGAGATCTTAAGGCCAAAAATAATAATCTCTGAGTTCTAATGGAGTTTGGAAATAGCTAGATCCGAGAATTTTCCATGCACCTTGACCCACAATGATGAAAAAGTCACTCTCTCTTAAAGCTCATAGAATGACGTACATCAGTTGTTAAAAATTTTCCATTGTACAAGCCATATGGTCAATAGATCAGTAGATATAGCCCCTTGCCTCAAAATATATCTCTCTCAATCCATCATCCTTGATGCACACACCTATAAAGCTCTTAACTGTTGGAGATACAACGTATTTGATACCAGAGAGACTCAATATTTAGTCAAAATTGTCCAAGCAATCTTGCAATGGAGATGTAGAAAATAAGAAATAATTAAGTAGAAAATAAGGAGAAATTAAGTTGTATTTTCCAAGTTGTATATTTTCTGTTTTATTAACTGTAGATTCTGTATACAGAGGGAGTCACAAACAAATTTCCTCCACCCCATAAAATTGTTAGGATCTCGTTAGAATTTGTTAGCATTTAGGTTGTATAAATACACATCATTCACGATGGAAATATATGAGAAACAATATTTCCTCTCAAATAACTTCATGGTATCAGAGCCTTACCTGATCCAAGAACAGTGATCCTTGCCAAACCGTAATCACAAATGGCCACAGGCGTGCTTCTGTTTTCTCTACAGGTCTCCTCTAGTTCCTATCATCACACATCAACTAGCAACGTTGCGAATGACATGTCTTCGTCCTGCACTACAGAACATAAACTCAACGGCAGTAATTACCTACAATGGTCATCCTCTGTCTGATTGTTCATCCGGGGGAAGGTTGCTACAGACATCTTACTGGTGAAGTCGTATCTCCTCCAGCAACTGACTCAAGTGCTCGCGTATGGGAGATTGAAGACAGCATGGTGATGTCATGACTCATCACGTCAATGACCCCAGAAATTGGATAGAATTTCCTACTCTATGAAACTGCTCACGAAATCTGAAAAGCAGCTCAGGAATTTTACTCCAGCAAAGTAAACACTTCCGCCAATTTCGAGATAGAGTTCGCGCTTCATATCTTCGGCAATGTGAGTTAAGCGTTACTCAGTATTATAACGCCTTAACTCGTAACTGGCAGCAGATGGATATATTTGAAGAGCGCCCATAGAGTTGCCCCGAAGATGCAAAGAACTTCAAAGTCGTTCGTCAAAGAGAAGCGCGTCTTCAAATTCTTGCTGGGTTTGAATAGGAACCTCCACGAGATTCGGGGACGCGTGTTGAGTACCAAACCGTTGCCGAGTCTTCGGGAGGTGTTCTCTGAAATCTGACGCGAAGAGAGCCACAAGAAGGTCATGACGGGTGATGTTGAGCAGACCCACCTGGCCGAGAACTCTTCAGCGCTCACAACCCGAGCTGTCAACGCTCGAACAAAGAAGACGAGGCCCTAGTGTGATCATTGTAAAAAGCTAGGGCATACTCGTGAGCG